TTTTCTCTCGGTTCCCAAAATTGTGCATATAAAACTCCAAATCATCTGCAAGTACAGCAGCGAGCAATTTCCAAACTCGCTTACCCCATCTCTCTCTCCCCCGGATTCCTTCCTCCGATCATCCAATCGCAATTTACAGCATAGATCGATGAGCAAGAGGAAGATTCCGAGCAGCAACCCCGCCAAAACCCATTTCCCGGCGTCCTCTGTTTCTGCTCCGGATCTCAATCTAGACATCCTCCTCCACCCCAATACGACGTCGTGCCTCGCCGCGGCGGCCAAGAAGCTCCGATCATCATCCGAATCGCCTGCACAATCGACGATGATGGACGCTCGGGTCCCAGATCGCGATTTCCCCGATGACGACGGCAACGATTCCGATTCCTCCTCCGACATAATCAACACCGAGATAGAACCCTTTCCCCGCTCGCTCAACAGCATCCCCGCCGCTTCCTCTGCATTTGCCTTCGACATTTTGAGGAAGGAGGGTAATATCCCGACCACCCACTAGCTCTTCCCGGAGAGGGCGGGGCCGGAGCTCAACCCGCCGGCGACGGCGCCGGGTCAGTGAGGGAAGCACAGAATCCGTCGAGGACGTTGGAGTAGGAGTAGACTGCCACATCAGCAAAAACTATAATAGTTGACTACTCCGCCGTGTTCGAGTCTCTAGAGCCGAGCTTGAGTGGGGATTCGACGGAGAGGCTTGAAGTGGAGAGAATGTTGGTGGGTCGGAGAATCGCCGGGGTGGTCGGCCCTGAGGAGAAGCCCGGAATCAGAAGGGAAAGGATGGAAGATAGAGAGCAATGGCGGGTACTGATGGAGAGTTGTGGGTTTCAGGCTGTGGCGCTGAGCAATTACGCCATGAGCCAGGCGAAGATCCTTCTTTGGAACTACAATTACAACCCACGTTACTCGCTAGTTGAATCCAAACCTGGGTTCGTTTCGTTGGCCTGGAATGGAGTTTCCCTGCTCACTGTTTCTTCACGGCGTTGATTGGGGACACCCAGAATAAGTTTTATTTTTATTTTTTAATAGTTGTAAAATGAGGTGGAAATTGAAAATATTTTAAAAAAAAATTATTGGCCACGTCACTCATTTAACGGTCAACTATAATAGTTGACTGCCACATCAGCAAAAACTAACGGAGAGTGACCAAACTTGAACTATTGAACTAATCTTAGTGACCATGAATGGAATTAAATATTTGCAGTGACCAAACATGAACGGTTTTAGTAAACCCAGTGACCATCCTTGCAATTAACCCCATAGAAATTACAAAAATAACACCCTTTTTTTAAAACCGCACCTCCAAGGTGCGGTTTGATTGTGAACCGCACGCACAAGGTGCGGTTTATATGTAAACCGCACGCCCAAGGTGCGGTTTATAATTCTGGGCCAAAACCGCATCTTGGCCATGCGGTTTCGTGTCTGACCTAACAGAACCGCATGGCCTAGGTGCGTTTCTTGGGATGACCTAGCAAAACCGCACATTGGGGATGCGATTTTGTTTCTGACCTAACAGAACCGTATGGCCTAGGTGCATTTCTTGGGCTGACCTAGCAAAACCGCACATTGGGGATGCGATTTTGTTTCTCCAAAACAAACCGCACCCTCAACATGCGGTTTTGCCCACACAAACCGGACCACCCCCCCTCCCCATGCGGTTTGTGTGTCGTCCCCATTTTTCCGACATCAAACATGTTGCCATGCAGGTTGACAGACGTGGGGCTGCATGGCAGATGAAAACCGCACCCTCCCCATGCGGTTTTCATTGATGATTTTGCCTATAAAAGACAACCCCGGGAAACCTCTTCTCTTCACACCTCTCCTTCTCCCTTTTCAATTTTCTGTTGTAGCTCCCTACTTCTTTAGTGTTTTTGCGATTAACGTTAACTCATAAGTTTATTTTGTATTACTTTTTATTGTGATTTGTGATTTGTGATTTTTATGATATTAACTGAACTACGGGTTTTTTTCAGATGGCATTCCAAAAGTTCACGCTTGGGTTGCGGTGGAATAGTTACACGAAAGAGACCGGAAAGGGGGTCACCTACGTCGGTGGCAATTTTTCTGAAAAATAAATGTCGCTACCAGACCGATGCTTGAAGACCTCCATCAAATGTGTACTAATGTTACTTGCATGGATGACACGAGAAGAGTTGATCGTATGGTGTACCGATATCCAAACAGAGAAGGCGGGTCGTTGTGGCACGAGGAATATCTCATAACCACTCAGGATGAAGTAGATGTCATTCTCGAATTCTTGAGGTCCAACAATCTTTCCAAAGCCGAGATGTTCGTTTACACCGAGGCGGTCGTAGTCGTTGGAGGTCATTCTGGAGACGGTCAAACATCTGGTATCCATGGTGGAGGTGAATTATATGGAGATCATCCCTACCAAAGTTACCATGATCATCATTCCTATTTTCAGTACCAAGAGCAAGGTGAAGGTTATCATCAATCTTTCCCATCATATGAAGAAGAGGTTCAACCGGACCATGCCAACCAACCCGAGTACAACTTCCAATCAGACAATGGTAGTTTTCACAACTACCATTATGGAGCTGATGAAGGTGCCTTTCATGAGCTGAATCAGATGGAAGATGCCCTGCCAGCATCAGTTAGTGACCCCTCCGATGAAGAAGGAGAGAACAACGTCAGTGCAGACAACTCCGACCCTCTTGAAGGTGTTGATGATTCAGGACCAGAGTCAGACTCAGATAATGATGATGAGGTGGCTCGTGATCGTGTACCAGTCCCCTACAACAATCACATTCCAGAAGTCAATTGGTGTGTCGACAGCGACATGGAGCCGCCAGAGGTCCCAATATGAGGTCCACTCACTGGGTTTATGAAGGGCCAACAATTTGGCTCGAAGAAGGAGGTGCGGCACGCCATTGCTACTGAAGCAATGACTCGGCATTTTGAATGGCACACAACTCATTCAAACACGAAAAGGCTCATAGTCAGATGTTGTAATCATCACGAGGGATGCAATGTTAGGAATCGGGCCATCAACATCAAGAGACACGACCATTGGGTCATATCCCGTGCGGTGAACACACACACATGTGTGTCATCCATAACATCCCAAGGCCATCGACAGTTGAAATCCATGGTGGTTGTTGCGGCTATCAAGCATCTAATTGAGCAAGATCCTGACCTGAAGGTGAAAGTCATAATCGCTGACATTGCAAGTCGTTATGGTTATATGATTAACTATAAGAAGGCGTGGCATGGAAAGCAGAAAGCTCTGGCCGCCGTCTTTGGTGATTGGGAAGAATCATATGCATTCCTTCCCAGGTTGATTTTGGCATTGGAGGCGTCTAACAATCAAATTATATTATTAACAATCAAATTTAAATAATTGATGGTTTTTCCAAGATATATACATATTATCATAAAACAAACATACTCAATTAATTAACATAAATAACATTCTAAATGAATAATAATTTAAAGAGATACATACATATTCAAACATTTGAAATTAATACAATTCATTTTGTACACATAAACATAAATCGTATTGGTTGTTTGGTAAATAATTTAATCGTATTGATTGTTTTAAATAATTTAATCGAATACAATGCAACACTCGTTATACTCTTAGAAGAGGTATACATCTTCTTAGAAACGCATCCTTTTTGACAGAAAAAGGGGGGATCCGAGGATCTCTTAATACCCAATTTTCTCAGAGAATGGGAGGATCATGATAATTGCTTAAAGTCTCATTTCCTTAGACGTGCATCTATTTATAAAGAGTCGAAGTAAGTGGTGCTATGTATTCGATTAAGTTATTGAAAACAACCAATACGATTAAAAATGATCAAATTTATTTTATATTACACTAAGTACATTAGCAAAATAAAAGAAAGACAAATGATGAAGAATTGTATGTACCTCGTGATCGTTCCAAACATCCCTTGAACGATGGTTGGGTTAGTCGTACAAGTCGGTTGGATCAATAGGTCCTCGATCCAAATAATACCGTTGGTTGTATATATCCACGCCGTCCCCAACCTACGAGAGAATAACAACAAGGTTAGTACATAGATTAATTAAAAAGCTTATAACAACAACAAAAATTGACCAGAATAATGAGTACGTACCGCTTGAAATTCATCATAATAAACTCCCTCTCCTTGGAACCACTCGTCCATTTTTTTCGCGAAAGTCGGACAGAGATTCGGCGGATTTTGAAGAAAAAACCAAAGAAATGTTTTCTGATGGCAGATCGGACTTAGCCACAACCAACATACCACTATTTCCTAGACTTTTGGGAGGGGAGGGGATAGAGAGATAATTTTAGAGAGAGAGTGAAGAATGGGTTGTGGTGTGAAAAAATGAGGAGGAGGAGGGGGGTATTTATACATTTCAGACTGCACCCTCCAGGGTCGGTTTGGTAATTTTTCCTTCAGTGAAACCGCATCTGCGGGGTGCGGTTTCCGTTTCACGAGGCACAGAACCGCAGGCGGAAGGTACGGTCTTTGATCCTCTACACGGATCGCTGACTTGGCGTGCGGTCCGCCGTTGGATCGCCGCCTCATCCAACGGTCTAGAAGGCCGCTACGGAGGAAACACAAAACGCACCATCTGCGTGCGATTCCATGGCTGACATGGCAAGGACCGCATCTCCAAGGTGCGCTTTATAAATAAAATGCACCGTCATGGTGCGGTTTCAAGAAAAGGGTGTTATTTTTGTAATTTTTATGGGCTGGATGCTATTTTTGTAATTTTTTTTTTAAAAAGGTGCTATTATTGGAAAAATCCCGAAGATTTGGAGAGATCGAATATGAAGAGTGGTAGAGGGATCCATCAATATTTAATTATTTACACTATCCACCATTTTGATTGAGCCTCCTAAGTCCTAATTGATCCAGTATTCCAGTTTGTCATGACGTTCGAGGCCAGCCCACAGCGGATCTGAAAAACTGGGCCTGGACTAATTAGGCCCATAGAGATTTCACTCGCATTTTCAATTCATCGTTTCTCAGCTAGAGCCTAGTTTCTGCCCCAAACCAGCAATGGCGTCCAGTAAGAAAGCCAAGGAAGAGGACAAGAAGAAGAAGAAGAAGAAGAATGACAAGCGGCCGCAGGCAAACGGCAAGGCGTTGGCCGTAACCAAATCTCCGAGCAAGGGTCAACAACCTCCTGCCGCCGCGAATTCCAAATCGCCTCAAAAGAAGAAGACGACGACGCCGGTAAAGTCTCCCACCAAGGCAAAAACGCCCACCAAAGCGACGCCAGTGAAGAAGGAGAAGAATAAGAAGGAGGTCGAGCCGGAGGAGCTCGTGGTCCCTTCCTCTAGCTGCGAGTCCGAAAGGGAGGAGGAAGGGGAAGAGAATGGAGATGAAGGCAGGACTCCGAATGGGAATTCGAAAATCTCGAAAGCAGAGAAAGGCAAGAAGAAGAGAGAGGAAGGAACCGAAGACGGAGGAGAAGAAGGAGACGAGGGGACAATGTTCCGGTTTCCGATGGCGAGGATTAGAAGGATAATGACGAGCGAAGCGCCGAATCTGCAACCGGGTTTGGAGGGTCAAGATGTGGTTTTCCTCGTCAATAAAGCCACGGTGCATTTCCTTCTTCTTTCGCTTATTGGTGTTCCATGAATCATGATTGGCCTGAGCTTTTAGGGTTTTTTTCGCTCTCAATGATCTGTAGTGGTGATTGGGTTTGCAGGAGATGTTCTTGGAGAAGTTCTGTGAAGAAGCACATCGTTGCGCAGTTCGGGATAAAAAGAAATCGCTCGAGTACAAACAATTAGGTAAGAACGAGATTTACCCCCTTTTATATTGCATTCAGCTGAAATTGAGACTTGGGTAGAGCTTCTTTTCTTGAGAATGTATGGCCCGGCCCCAGAAGCTAATTCAAGTGTGTTATTTGTCACTGTTGCTCTGGTTTAGAATGTAAAGTTGCTTTCTTTCTGTACAATATCATCCATTTAGTCCCCACTCTCCAGTCACTGGTGTGTTTATGAGATTGTGCTTTTGATGTTATTTAATTGCTAGATTCTGAATCTTCTTCTAAACGATAGTGTTGTGTCCGAATCGAGCTAGCATCATCATGCCTGTGAAATTCGCTAACTATGCTGTCAAGTGTCAAGTTCTCATTATGTGTGATTTCTTGTTCTCTGAATTCTGAACTATATCTTTCTGTTCCGTCTCTTATTGGGCTTCCTTAGATAGTTTAGATTACATTATAATCAGCAATAGCAAAGAACTGGACTGAACTGGTGCCAATCGAATGATGTTGATTTCTACTCCACGTTTTGGGAGATGTTCTTTCTTTTCTGTCCATGATACTTGGTATCTGAAACTTTGTTTCTACTGTGATTTTCAGCAACAGTTGTTAGCAAGAACGAGAGATTTGATTTTCTCTCAGGTACATTTCAGAACATTATTCACCACGTACTCTATTTTACTTCAGTTACTGCTGCTGCAGGTGACCTAATTTCTTCAGCATCATCCTAGATGCAGTTACTTATCACGGTATTCTTGTTTGTGTTGGCAGATTTCGTCCCTGTGAAATTAAGAGCCGAGGATGCTTTAGAAGCACGAAAATCAGCTGCATCGCAGCAAGGATAAAGAAGGCGCAAGAGTAGACCTGGTGGTAGAACGGAGGAGGCAGTTACCTTTGCAATATCAGCACGTAGCTCGACAATCATGATCGTTTATGAGTGTAAACTAGTCATTTTTTTCCCCCAGCTGATAACGAACAGCGGAACCACCATTTGCTAGTCATGCTGTGGCATATTTTGCTAGCAACAAGCGGCTCTGCCTTTCCTTCTGTATGATCTGATGTAGTATACATGATTGATCTAGAACAGAGAAGTATTTGATCATTTGCTGTGGTCTATTAATGTTGTTCTCTACCTTCCTGGTAGCTATTTTTTGCTGCAATTTCATTCCCCCAAACAACCGGTGGGTGGATGGGATGAGCTGACGTGAGAGTTGGCATGTCATATCTTGTTTGCAGTTCAGAGGGACACATCGGACACAAAGCAACAAGATGGTGTGACCTGGCCATGCCAGTGCTGCAATTATCTTAAAAGCCTTCATAATCATACCTATATCTATCCCAAGTAATGCTACTAAGTACGTCTCCTCCCGCTTCAGGTTACATAGTGACCAAATGTGCTTAACCACTCTGTAATCTGCACTATAAAACGATATGGATTAATCGATGTTTTAGGTAAACAATTTTTCCACTCTCTGCCAAAGATGAAATCTCCTCGTCCAGGGGTGAAAAGGCAAATGAATAAATAACTGAGGAAGAAACCCCTGACAGCTTGTTTCTTAAGGATACAGCAAAAATCAATACAGTTGATCATTGCTCAACAAAGTCGACTGAAGAAGCAAAAACAGAGCAATCATGGCGTCGACAATAGACCCCATTGCCATACTCCCTCCTTCCTTCAACTCCAAGCAACACAGTTGCTCCCACAGTATCCCCTCTCCCCCACTGATTTCAATTCACCATCCTCTCAAATCCCACCTTGAAATCACAGTGACAATACAACCCCAACCGCCATTATACCCCTCTTTTCCATATCCAGCTAACTGCAATAATGCTTACATTACACCAAATTCAAAAAGACATTCCCCACGACCACCATAAAATCCCCCCCATCCCAAACTCTTCTTCTCTCACACAATTCGTCGAACACCTCGCCAGCAACATCAACAACAACAATGGCGCCACAAAAGCTCCTCCCTTTCTCCCTCCTCCTCGTCTCACTCCTTCTCCACACCACCTCCGCCCAATCCCCGGCCGCCGCGCCTGCCCCTGCCGGCCCAGTCAACATAACCAAGATTCTGGAAAAGGCAGGGCAGTTCAGCGTCTTCATCAGGCTTATCAAGGCAACCCGAGAAGACCTGACGCTGAACGGCCAGCTCAACAACTCCAACAACGCCATCACCATCTTCGCCCCGAGCGACAGCGCGTTCACCACCCTGAAATCGGGGACCCTCAACGCCCTGAACGATCAGGAGAAATCGGAGCTCGTTCAATTCCACATCGTCCCAACGTACCTTTCTTCCTCCACTTTCCAGACCGTCAGCAACCCGGTCACCACCCAGGCCGGGACCGGCAACCGGCTGGCACTCAACGTGACCACGTCGGGGAATTCGGTCAACATAACGACCGGACTGACCAATACGAGTGTTTCGGGGACGGTTTACACGGACGGGCAGCTGGCGGTTTACCAGGTCGACAAGGTGCTGCAGCCTCTGGATCTGTTCACGCCGAAGCCGCCGGCACCGGCGCCGGCGCCGGAGAAGGCGAAGAAGAAGAAGGGGGGAGAGGGTGATGCGGATAGCCCGGCCGGAGTGGCGAAGGATGCGTCGGACGGCGGGGAGAGGGAGAGGTTTATGGCGGGGAACAGGGTGGTGGTGTTTGTGGTTGGGCTGGCGGCGGCGGCGGTGGCGTTGTGACACAAGAGGGTGCTGATGAAGGAAGTTGGGGTTGGTTCGGTTTTCCAGTGGTTCATGGGTTGGATGGCTTGGTATGAATAGGCCGAACCGCAGTTTTCTTTTTCTATCTTGTGGGGGGCATTTTCGGAAAGCAATTGTATTATTTGTGGTCTGGTTTTGTTCCTATGCTTTGTTTCATTTCATATGCGGAATTTCGTTACCGTTTTGGCAAATGTCATCTTCTACAGGGTGAAGTTTTGGGTTGGGATCGGTTTGTTCAGATGGTTCATTTTTCGGTTATGTAAACTGGTAAAATCTTTACTTTGTTTTTTTTTTTTTTTTTTATCATAGTCAGATGAAATAGTAGACAGATAGGTTTACAATGGGTAAAAATAACGGCAGTCAATACTAATCGCTGTCGATGAAAGAGCCCTTTATGCCACAAAATGGGCAGCTCTGTTAGTTCCTAAGAACAAAGTGACAAAAACACGAAACCTTAAAAAAATATATAAGTTTCCGCCACTACACCACTGCGCCTTAAAGCTCTCCGTGCCGCCACCTAGGATCGGATTCTGCTACTCATGCTAAAAGCTAGGGCCTGCAACACCAACCTGAAGTGCAAGCTACCTGCAAAACAATGAACACAAAAATAATCCCGGCCCAATAAGCCCAAGTGCCACGAGTGACACCTCATCAGCAGCTGGAAAAGCAAAAAAGAATCCAGCTCCTCTAAATGAGGGATAAGCACAACTACGCTCATCTCTAGGAGTTGCCCGACCAAAGCTGGCGGATAAGCATAAGGAAAGCAACCCTTGTTTTTCTTCAGAATGAATATAGCCACGCGTCCTCATCCAATTTCTCCTTAGCCCACCCCTCTTTAATATGCTCCACCTGTCCCCAATAGGTGATGGCCAAAGATTGGCTAACAGCAGCGGAGGAAATTGGAAGCGGAAGAAACCGATGGGGCCAGCGGCGCCAGTGACGGAATCCAGGGATGGAGAAGTTGAAGCTAAAATCTACAAACCCTGTGACTGCGGCACAAACAAGGAATCGGGAAAATATAGCATCCAAAATTAGAAGTTCCCTCCCTTATCTTTGGCTCTTTGCCGCCAGTAACTCAAAAACGACCAGGATCAATGAACCAGGGAACTAAGACCGTTGCCGGAGAGAGTTGATACTTGAGCGAAACAGCATTAGAAGAGATAAACCGCTAAAAAGAATGACAAAGAAGGTTAGTGGGAAAAATAATCCAATCATAGATCAAACAAATTAATAAGCTGAATTAAAACATAAAGATGAAGAACGGCGGCGAATCCGAAGGGTGGCGGGGAAGGTAGAACTGCAGAGAACAAGAACCTAGAGCGAACCCCAGGACGGTTTTGATTGAAATTCATTATCTTTCACCGGCGAACTAGAATCTCCTTCGGCCTGGTTTTCCTCCACCGCCCCAAACAAGGTAGAACTGCAAAGTCATAGGCAAATATATATTTGAGCGGACTGAATTGAGAAGGGCAGAATTCCTTTGGGGGTGGAAGATGATTGGAGAACAGAGAGCGACAACGCGGAACGAGAGGGAAGCAGCAGCGCTTGGCGGCGATCGCGAGCTCAATTGATTTTGGAGTTGGCTTGTTCATCCTGCAGAGGGCGGCGCCATTACCCTCTTAGTCTGTTCAGAGAAGAGGAGAAACGCTGGAAAAATAGGGGGGAAAAAAACACAAACACAAACACTTTTTCTTTCCTTCTTTATTCTGTCAAATAGAAGTAGTAGGCAAACAGAAGCCCAACAAGTCTGTACTTGTACTGTAATAAGCAGAAGCCAGGTTCATATTCCAGTTCTAGTAATACATCATTCCTTTACTACTCTTTTATTCTCTTCTCCTACTCTTCCCTTTTTGTCAAACTAACTCTATATTATTGTTATTACCACTGTTACTATCATCCATAATCATCATCATCTAAATGTCACGATTTCTACATAAGAGTGATTGAAAACTAATCAAAACCCAGATTTATTCTACTAACTTGAATCTATTTGTTAGTATTGGAACAACTTGAATCTATTTGTTATGAAGAAAAAGAAAGTTATATGCATTTAGCTTCAAATTCCTCTCCGTCACGTCACAACTTTAGTGATGGTCTCTAAGATTATTTCAAATTATTGATGTATAGTTATATTCGGTGCATCTAGAGTGAACAAGTAATTTGCGGATCTGGAGGCTACACTTATAGTAGTAAATGCAATAAGGTATGTGAATATAATTTTTTTTTTATGAAAATGCTTCTGTTATTTATTAATTGAGGGAAAAGCCTGTTACACTAGCTTTCTTTTGTAGAAGGCTCGCTATGGAATCTGGTGGACTATCAACCCAAATTCTTTCCCCTTCCCATTCGCAATCCAAATGTGAGCAGGCTCATTCAGTTTTCGTCCTACAAATTTCCAATTATGGATTGTTCCACGTTATCAGCTCTTGTTTACAGGCACAACCGGGGCTTCAGAGGTGGGCCTTTTTGATTGGAGCCATAATATAAGCAGGCTCATTCAATTTTCGGTCTACAAACTTCGAATAAAAAAGACCCACCTCTAAAGCCCGCTTCTTTGTTTACTCACAAACCCAGCCTACTTCCTCAAAAAGGATTTCACCCAAAAACGGTGCATGAAGTTCAACAAGGGAGTGAATAGACTACTTTTTTAGGCAAAGGAAGTATATTATGGATTGTCGGATTGATCATCATTTTGCGAAATTGTATACTGATTTCTATCTTAGTGCGGCTGAATTTGAAGTGTCGTCAAAACTCAAAATTCGTGGTGAGCTCTTAGTGGTGGTGCTACCAAACATTGTGGTATTGTTGGTAGCATAGTTAGTAAAATATGGTACGGGAAAGTTAAGTAAAAAATACGTACGGTTATTATACTTCGTCTCTAAGCTAAAGTTACGTTTAATAGTAAGTTAATAGCATAAATATATAAAATTAATCATTTTAAAAATAAATAAATATATAAATAATAGTACAATTAACAATTCCGTTCGTAACGGTTGGGGGCAATAAAGTAGGTGAAGTGGTTGAATTCTGCGAGCTGTTCCAACCACTGCTGGATGTGATTCCAAGAGCCGAACGAGAATGAAAATACGGATAATAAATGTGTTATACGGGTTTTATACGTGTTTAGTATGAGAGCCATCAAATGAACGGGGGGAAATGAAACGGCTTGACAATAATACGGATACAGAAGTTCTAAACGGATAAAGTACGTACGGGTACATATATGTGTATTAAACAGAGTATTTACTAACTATGGTTGATATTATACTTTATATAAATTGTACTCGACTATATATTTTCGATATTGTTCAAGTGTTTAATCAAGTTCATGTTTGTGCTTTAGGATGATCATCACGTCGCTATTGCTCATCGCATTCTCTACTGCTCACAGAGCATTCGAGAGATAGGTTTGTTTCCTCCCTTTTGTCGGCGAGCTTACTCTACAAGCCTTTCGTTATTCTGAATATGTAAAATAATGTCATAACTCATAAGTATTCAAATATTTTTTAGAGGCCAAGTGTAGGATCTGGTCTAGGTCTGCATAACAACGGATGTGAACAATGAAACCCTAAACTTGTATTGATCTGTCTCAAGTGATTACAATATATAGCAGCTGTTTTAACACTAGCAGACAAGCTTCAAAGTACATCTTTGTTGCTTACTTGAAATGGAAACAAACACTGGCTTGAAAGAAAAGTAAATTGATCAGCGAACAAAGTAAAACGACAACGTCGTGGGAAAACGGTGCGCAGCGACACAAGGAGCGGAGACCACCGAAACGCAGCACTTTGACTTAGCTTCTTCAGCTCGTCGCGGGATGACCGTTGGAAACTCTGTCTTTGCATTTTTCAATGCATGTGCTCTGTTACCCCCCCCCCCCCCCCCCCCCGGCAAGCTGGTGGGCATAGATTATGCACACCAAGCTTGGAGAAGAGCTGGAGGAACGAAGCTGGAGAGAGAGGTTTGGTGAACAAGTCTGCCAATTAGTGGGAGGAGGAAACATGGAGAAGTTTCAAAATCCCAGATTGAAGTTTCTCACGCACAAGATGGCAATCAAGCTCAATGTGCTTGGTGCGCTCATGGAAGGAGGGATTTTGAGCAATGTGAATCGCACTCTGATTGTCACAGTATAGCAGAGCAGGCTTGGGATGATCAACCTTGAAGTCACGAAGAAGATACAGGATCCATTGGATTTCGCATGCAGTATAGGCCAAAGCCCTATACTCGGCCTCACAAGAAGATCGAGAAACAGTCTGCTGCTTTTTGCTTTTCCAGGAAATCAAGGACTCCCCCGAGGTAAACACAATAACCTGTTGTTGAGCGTCGTGTGTCGACACAAGCCGCCCAATCTGAATCAGTGAATGCTTTCAATTGTAGAGAACCAGAACTAGGGAGAAATAGGCCAGTTGCAGGTGCTGTTTTGAGATAGCGAATGATGCGTAGAACAACTTTGTGATGTGTCACAGTAGGATGAGACATGTATTGACTGAGCTGTTGTGTAGCAAAACTTATGTCTGGTCTTGTAGTAGTGAGATAAATCAGTTTCCCAACAAGGGTTCTGTAATGTTCTGGATCAGAATATGGAGTGTCAGCTTCCTTTGTGAGGTGCAATTTGTAATCCATAGGTGTAGTGACAGATTTGGAATCTAAAACCCCTGCTTCTTCAATAATTTCCAATGTGTATTTCCTTTGAGACAGATGAATACCTCTGTTGTTCCTGGCAACTTCAATGCCTAAGAAAAATCTGAGAACACCCAAATCTTTGATGCTAAAAGCAGTATGAAGACACTGCTTGATGGAGGTAATCTCAGTGAGATCATTACCTCCAATGATAAGATCATCTACATAAATAAGAATGCAAGTGTAGGATCGATCTGTTGCTTTGTAGAATAGAGAATGATCTGCCAAGGACTGTATATACCCTTCCTCCTGCAACTTGTCTGTCAATTTAGAGAACCACTGACGAGAAGCTTGCTTTA